TACTGGCACTGATTTTTTTATTCATTCGGCCCGCATAAATATTGGAAATATATAATGTGGCCCGCAGTGTGAAAAGTTTGGAGACCCCTGGTCTAGAGGAAGCACTAAGGGGAGGATCTAAGGGGGGGGAGGGAGGAATTAAATGAGGGTGAGGGGGACTTAATATCCTGGAAGCAGCATGGTGAACACCCTTTATAAATAAATCTGGGCTTAATTCTTTTGTTTCTTCTTCCACTGTTCCACACAACAATCACCTCTTTGACAGTTTTGACTTCGACAGAGTGTGACAGAAATTCAAATTGATTAATAAAAATGGCAAGACAAAACAAATTTTTTTTAATACATTTGGAATCTCTCAGCCTGATTATCAGATTAATTAATTTTCATTTTGTTAACAATTGAATGGGAAAAGAGGTAATTTATCAAGAAGGAATCTCAGGGTTGTATAAATGGCAATAAATTTTAGGTGCAGACTAGCAGTTACAGACAGTCAAAGGCTGAGTCAATAACTTACAATTACAATTTACAAAGCCAAAGGCAGGATTGGAATTTAGAATTTTCCTAATTGTTTCTGAAATCTTGTGGCTCCAGAGTGACAAATTTCCAATACATCTAAAAACTTGTAGCCTGCTGCCTGATTGTGATTGTACACTTTAGTTAACAATTAAATAGGAGATAATTCTTATGGCGGGAATCTTGCGGTTTTGGAAATCGTGNCTCTTTGTACGCCGCGTTGTACGCCAGTAGAAGGGCTTGGAGTCTCGTTTACGCCGGATTAATCCGCGGAAAACGGCACCATCCTGGGTATGGCATCCACTCTCTGCACAGTGGCAGACTAGCAGTTACAGTCAAAGGCTGAGCCAATAACTTACAATTACAATTTACAAAGCCAAAGGCAGGATTGGAATTTAGAATTTTCTTCTGAAACCTTGTGGCTCCGGAGTGACAAATTTCCAATACATTTAAAAACTTGTAGCCTGATTGTGCACTTTAGTTAACAATTAAATAGGAGATAATTCTTATGGCGGGAATCTTGCAGTTTTGGAAATTGCGGGAAAGCTCCAGTCACGGCCTTAAATCAAGATGTTTTTCACGCATGGCCAAACACAGAGGTTTTCCACATAAGAACTGATCAGTGATTGATATGACAGCTGCCAACATTAGACTCTTTCTATAGCTCAATGATAAAATCAGGATTCAGGAATATTGGGCAGAAATGCATAATTATCCTAAAATTGTAAATAAAAAGGGTTGTTTCATGATTTTCTTTGAAAATATGCTATCTTTCTTAATTGTTACTACAGGGCACAGGCCAAACAAGGCTGCAAGGGCCATATGAATAATGAATGTGCAAAATTGTTTGCTTACTTCAAGTTACTTGTGTATTTTTGTCATTTCATTGGCAACTTCTATTTATATTTCTAGTTTTGGATTGGTGAACTTATGGGAATTGGGATTTGGGAGGACCAAAAGTTCTGGGTTAGATCACTTAGATGTTCTGTTTATGGCTCAGGGCTGAGGGCTAATTGGTATTTAAAATTAGTGGTCCATTCTGTTGACTTTGAATTTTGTTCTCCAAAAACTAAGTAAGATTTCTTTGTTAAATCTGAAATCTCATCTCTCTTTAGTCTCTTGTATGCCTATTTATGTGCAAATTTGCAATGAAATACCTACTGTGATCTTCTCAAATATTCAAGAATGATTGCTCTGAGTGAAATTCATTGATCAAAGTTGTTGGTGAATGGTGTCTCTGCAAAGTCTGCAGAGACTTTGGATTGGATAATTGGATTGGAATTTTCCTACTTAAGAATGAAATCTTGTATGTAGCTCCAAAGTAAGTTACACATTTTTTATACCTTGGGAATCCTACAGCCCTATCATGCAACTATGTTAATAATTAGAATATTAGATGGTAGGTAATGTATCTAGTGGTAATTTTGCAGTTCCAAAAATGGCAGGAGCTCTGGTTGCTTCTGGAAAAGTAGTTAGCTGTATTCCAGGTCAGGCCATCAACAAAGTTGAAGAAAGGTGTTCTTAGATTTTTCCAGGGTGCAGAGGGTGCAAGCAGCATTGCCAATATATGGTATGGATTTTTAGCCCAAAGCGTTGCCAGCCATTTTCAAGATTCGTTGCCAGTCAATTTTTATTAAGAAAATGCTGCTAACAACTTTGATGGTATGGTATATCCCTTACTTTCCATGTAATGCATCACTGCAACTGATTTCTGGACAAGCTTAACTGCATCCTGATCCATCCAATGTACCAGAAACCTTAATGTGTGCGCTTGCGGTCTACCAGATTTGTAATAATTTCAAAGTAATTTTTTAAAATGCAATTATTTCAATCCAAATCTGCTGGCAAGATATTCTGAAGGCATAAAATTTGCTGCTGATGTGTTTCCAATAATCTTTCAATATTCACCCACTTCCTGCACCCTGGTTTCTTTTTTTAAGATGGAACATAATGCAATCATTAATTCTTCAAGCGGGTAGGTACTTATTAAATTAGCATATTGAAGTTCAGTTTTGTTATAGTTTTGCACTTTTAATCACTGCTTATATTTAATTATATGAAACATCATACCTTATCAGTGGTTTGTATAATACGAAATTCTTTCACCAATTTTAAAATAGGAACTTGGTCATTTTTAAGTGACAATCAACACTTTATACTTATTTAATTAAAGGACTGTGAAATTAATATAAATAACTTATTGTTGTTTAAACATATATACCGTTTATGTATCAATGTTGGTCTTAAAATGAGTATTTATTGAACCATTTGTATTTTTTATTTGTGTTAGGAAAATAAATAATGAAATAGTAATTATCATAAATAAATATTATTGTGTTTTGAATAAATTTATTAAATAATTTAAAGTATATTTTCTTTATTTGCCAATTTATTTCTCTAAATTTTTCTACTTTTTTAATGTGCAGGTAAACATTTTTCCAGATTCACTTTTTAATAAGATTTAAATGCATAGAATGAAATCATATGTGAGAAGAGAAAATTATTCTTGTATTATGACTGGACTTGCTGTTATTGGTGAGTACAACATCTAGGTACGTACCGGTGAGTAGGTACATCTAGGTGAGTAAGTAGGTACGTACCGGTACCAGTACAATTTTTTTGACATCTACTCCAAAAGTCATTATAATTTCAATGATAATTGCGGAAAAATTCCCATCTTACTTTACTATTTTAGTATTATAAAGGCATTCTGTTGAAATTACCTACAAATTATCTATTGTTGAATGGGCTAATAAGGGACCGTTATGAGCTTTTTTTGTTAATAACTTCTTTCCATTAAACATTCATAAACAAGTTTAGGCTCATTTTATAGCTCTTTGCAATGGCTATTGTATGGCATCTTAAAAGAATTCCATATGCTATTTGTAAGATGCCAGATGCAAAATAAAAGCATCCTGAATTATTCCTGGGAGCAGGTTAATCTGGGACACTTGGAATAAAACTTAATTTTGAAATGTTTGAAGCATGCAAAGTGTAGGTACTCATCCACTAACAGTAATCTGAAGTCACCCTTTTCCTTTGTAGATTATGTACCATAGATGTGGATTAAATGGCATTTTCTGTGATCTTTACTTGTTTTTCCTTAATTGATTTGAATTATTTGATATTACCATATCTACCGTCAACTGGGGCTACTCGGGACGATTTCAAACATTTTTCATTCATAACTTCTTACCATGAAATATTTCATAAACAAGTTTAGGCTCATTTCAAAGCTCTTTGCAAGGGCTATCACATGGCTTCTCCAAAAAATTCCATATGCTATTCGTAAGGTGCCAGAAGCAAAAAAAGAGTGTCCCGAGTAGCCCCGTCGAAGGGGCTACTCGGGACAACTCCATACGTATCTCCAAAGGGACCGAAGTTTGAACTCAAAGTCATTTCAGTTTCTCTCTCTCTCTACCGAGGAAAGATTGATGTATCGAAATAAGCTGATGCCGATCATGTATTGTCACACGTGTGTGACAATACATGATTAATTATAATTATAATATATTTTATAATTATAATACATAATTTTCATGATTCTGGTTAATTTGAATAATTTTATCAATTTGACTTTCTGGTCGATTATTCGTAATATGGGTACTGGGGGAAATTGCAAGCGCTCAGTGACAATTCGTCGCACCTACAAATTCTGTAAAACTGTAATCATTGTCTGTGCGTCCACTGATTCGTAGTTATCACAACAATGAAAGGAGCAGAAACCGGGTTTTCATGAGTGATAGTTAAGGTGTTGAAGTTTTAAATCGCTCATGTGTTGATGCAACAGCGTGACCGTACATCACACGCACCTTCATATAATTGAAATAGGCTTCAAGTTAAACCTATTTTACCACGTTTTTCTTAGTTTCGCTTCGTGTCTGTCTGTCATCAAAAATTCAAGTCTTTAATTTAGAGCACTTCTGAAGATCCTAAAAACTAAAATTTGGCACGCATGCTTATGCTGCCTAACAATTCGAGATTCGATCATCAAAAGTAATAATAATTTTTTTTTAATTAAAAAACTCTAAAAATTCACGGTTGGGAATCGAGTTTTTTGTCGAACATCTAGACTTGCCAACCCTGGAAATTGATTTGCATTGTTAAAATTGCTAAACTAAAAAGTAGGAAATAAATATAAGAACCATTTAAAAAAAACAAGTTTTTCTGGTGTTTACCAAACTAAAAACAATTAAATAAAACAAATAAAAAAAAACTTTAAAAACCACGTTTTCTTAACGGACAAAAAAGAAAAACATTTACTCTTACCTAACATTACATAACATTTTACATAACTTTAATGTTATGTAAGAGTTAATTTTTTTGTCCGTTAAGAAAACGTGGTTTTTAAATTTTTTTATTTGTTTTATTATAGCACTTCTCTTTAACTTCACTTCTTGTTGATTGTCTGTCTGTCTGTCTGTCTGCTACAAATCTTATAATCGATATTTAACACACTTCTACCTGTCCAATCGATCTGAAATTTGGCACACTTGCATAAAGTCGGAGACAATGCATGAATCAATTGACGGAATAAATTATTTAGAAAAAAAATTTTCGATATAAAAAAATTTAAAATAATTTTGTCACCTACAAATCTTATTATCGATATTTGACACACTTCTACCTGTCCAATCGATCTGAAATTTTGCGCACTTGCGTAAAGTTGGATATAATGCATGAATCAATTGACAGAATAAATAATTTTACAAATTAAAACTTTTTTATTATTAAAAAAATTACAAATAATTTCGTCTGCTACAAATCTAATAATCCATATATGACACAATTTGACCTGTCCAATTGATCTGGAATTTTGCACAATTGCGTAAATTCAGAGACAATGCATGAATCAATTTACAGAATAGATAATTTAAAAAATTTACAAAATTTTGATATCTTAAAAAATTTTTGAAAAATAATTTTTTATATTTGAAAATAAAATTAGTAATTCATTGTACATGTGTGACATCCAAGACACTGGATTCCTCAGAAGTGTTGCCTTTAAAAAATAATTTTTAAACTCATATTATTTAACTCTTCAAACAAGTGCTTTGAGCTGTTGCAATTGTTCGCTAATATCAACATTTTTTCCAGTAAAAAGGGATATTAGATAAAATGCTGACTCGATTTCACATTCAGATTTGAATCACTGCCATGAACTCGATGAAGAATTCTTGAAACATTTGGATATCTTTATTTCGTTGAATATTGATATATTGATTATTATCCATTGCTGGTATAATAATCTCTTCCGTTTAGGCATTAACTCGCTTGGCACCTGCAAATTTATGACGCGTGATTTTGGCCTTGGAATCTTTGAATTGTTTCATTGTTCATACATAAGTTAATAAGAATATAAGTTATAGAATCTCGTAGATATTATTAATATTGGATCTATTATGTATCCCCATTCTCGTAAATTTTAGCTGAAACTTATTTTCAATTACTCAGCAAGCGCACCACTGGCACATATCATGTAAGAATTTCTTGCCTAACTTAATTAGAGTTTCAGTAAAACTAAGTGCGTTTTACGAACTAGAGATCGCGATGCTATAACTCTCGAGTTCTTTTTAGCGCATTTTCTCATTTATGTAAAAAATGCCCTATATAAAACTAAGTGCGTTTTACGAACTAGAGATTGCGATGCTATAACTCTCGAGTTCTTTTTAGCGCATTTTCTCATTTATGTAAAAAATGCCCTATTGTGGTCGTCATGTCCGTCCGTCCATGACTTCACGTATTCGTCGATTCTGAGAAAATGCGCTCTCTGTCATTCACTGCTGTGAGTACTGAGTTATATTTTTTGTGTCAGAAAATATCTGTTTCTCCCTATAATTAATGATGATTCGTTCATTGTTTGGCAGAGTTTCAATAAAATTTACAATAAATAGATAAATGTGTGATGCTAATGTTAGTCATGCACGCTTTTTCCACTAAGTTACGAGCAGCATAATGTTATCCAGTAGTTACATTATCGTAATGTGGAATCATTGACGTTAAATTAAAATCGCATTCAGGAATAGGCTAACCTTGCTTATATATGTGAGTTGAAAGCGACTACGAAACATTGTAAGCACTTGCAATCGAATGCTATTGTATTTTAATGTACATGCACTAGTGTGACAATTTGAGATTCTCGCTCTAGACTAGTGTTACAATTTGTGATTCTCACTCTACACTAGTGTGACAATGTGTGATTCTCGCTCTACGCTAGTGTGACAATTTGTGATTCTCACTCTACACCCAGTGTTTAATTAAGGTTCAGAATACCAAGATTGGAGCAGAGAGGTGCGGGTTCGATCCCACCTCTGTGCACCAGTTTCTTGTCAGAATCGGCAAGGAGGCCGGGCGGTTAAGCAAAGCAAAATTAAAGCAGTGATTTGTGTGATCGAGACCACAACAAGCTGTGAATATTCTGCGAGGTTAAAAATCGGTGACAGGCCTACGGCCTAATAAACGCTGAAACCGCTTTTATATATTATTATTATATAGTGTGACAATTGTGATTCTCACTTTACATTAGTGTGACAATTTGTGTCTATAATCTACACAAGTGTCTCAAGAAGTTTGTTTCATTACTGTAACCGATTTACACATTCAAGAATAAATCGAAGTTCATCATGATAAGTATTAATCATATTGGAAATAGTCTTCTTTTATATAGAAAAAATAGTTCATGCGATTTTATGTGCAAAACTAGTATAAAGACAGATAGATTGATTTCGCATGACAAAAGGAACACATGTTTGAAATATGCAGTCTTGAAGTCTCGAAAAAATATGTTCCGATTTTTAACTTGTTTTTCCAAAAGTGCAGAGATGAATGAATGATCATTGAGAATTTTTCGCCCCTAATCGTATACTCCAGCATCATGAAACTGACCAAATCTCTTCGTTCTTAGTTTTGTACGCTTTTGCTGAAGCTAATTTCTTTCAACGCACTATTCAAAGAACTCACCCTGCTTGTTATTTCACAGCAGCGTACGTCGCTTCTTAACCTAACAGTGATGTGGGTAATGATGCAGATCAGTGCAGATTACTTTGAGTTAGTGCAAGTTTGTGAAAAACTCCGAAAACGAGCAGCTGGAGTGACATCATCTGCAAAAAAATAAGCATAGGCTTAGCGTTAGACGTGAGATGGTTCTATCATTGGTGATATAAGCTATCATTCTATCATCCCCACCACTGATATAAGCTAATAAGTGTGGCAACGGCAGCGACTTTCGCCGAATAATTGTTCTGTTGAGCCCTCGCTTTCAGCGTCGACAAATCGGACATTGCCCTCATCGACCGATCAGGGCCAGGTCGACAGAATCTTCGTGGATGACCGGAGTGATTTGGTTTAAATTATTATGTCCATCAATTTCATTCTACTAAAACATCTCTAATCAGAAAAGCCTATAGCTGTGCAGATATTGCCTATTATATTATATTATATTATATTATATTATATTATATTATATTATATTATATTATATTATATTATATTATATTATATTATATTATATTATATTATATTATAT